CTTATGGTGCAATGTAAAATTTTACATTTTAGGGTATAGGGTTTTAACGTTAAACATTTGAACACTCAAACTTATATTAAAATATTACACATAATATTTTTTTTTGTTTGTCAACCAAAACATAATATTACACATATCTTAACTGAGAAAATAAGTACCTAAAAATTTTACACGACCGAACCTATTGCATTAGATATTCTTTCACACGAACTTGATTTGGTACAACCGAACCTATTGCATCAGATATGTATTCAATCTCTGAATTTGGCCTCCAGACCTTACATTAAAAATATTAGACACTTCAAACCACACCTTGCTTGCACTGGACATAGGGGTACAAAGTGGCACAAATCATTCGGATCCGTTGAAGCTACTACTCATCATTCAGCTACCTTACGCCCAGAGTTGCTGCAATCTAAGAGAATACACTTCTGCTTTGGACTTTTTGTCGAACTAGTGCTGCCTGGTCTCTACAACCCAAACCAGATAATAAAAGCACGTTCCACCATCAGTTAAATATCCAACATCAATCAACAGACAAACAAACAAATAACTTCATGTCAATAACATACCACTGTTTTTTCTTCACTGGTTTCGAAGGTGATGCTATTTTCTTGCTTGCAGATTTAGTAGGTGTTGCGTCTGCAGCGGTTGTAGGCATGACTTCAACCTTTAGGATTGGCCATGCGATTTTCTCGCTAAGTGAAGCATCAATCAAGACATATCAGTGGTTGGCCTCCACAAATATGCCTGATCATTGAACACCTTCACAACTTCGATACTAACAGCATTGAGACCTAGAGGTATATTGTTAACCATCTCTTTGGATTTAGATGAGCACATGAGACCTTCAGCAATAACCTCATCCTCGTCAATTATCCAATCATATATCTTGCATCTTCGAGTTTAACCTTCTTTGGCCTGCTAAAATGTAACAAGCTAATGATTAGAGATATATATACTTATGCGAAAAAAAAACAAGATTTGAGAATTTACCATGTATATATCTTCAGAAAAGTTTGGATCCTTATCCAAAATTACTTTATCCATTGGCCAAGCTATTTTGTATCCTATATCTTCATCAAGAGTTAAAACATCTGTTGTAGGCCTCCAGAGTGAAGCTACTGAGCTTAGTGCAGACTTAAAAACCACTGCATTAAGACCAATTGGTATACGACCAATTTTGTGCTTCGGTTCAGCTGAGCAGAATTTTCCTTCACCAACAACAACATTTTCTGATTCAATCCAATCCAGTATTTGTACTCTGACTCCTTCTTTGAATCCACCACTACTCTCAGATGTTTCAGCATTACCATTACTTTTCTGAGAGAAGGCAAAGGAAATCGTAAATGTCTTAAGACCGATTGACCAAATGTAATGAAAAGGATTACCTTCTTTCCAGTTAAGTCTCGGACCAAGCCCTTTAACTCTTCAATCTCACTTTTCATTTCTGCAATCTTTGCGTCTCTAAATTTCAGAAATGCTAGCTTAGTAGCCGTAATCCCTCTACCAAACCCCTTATCCGTCCAGGTATCTATTTTCCCAAAATAGTGCTCACAGCATCTTCCCTTATGTTATTAACAGCTGATGTTGAGTCCATCTGACTATCAAGTGACTGTATTTGTTCCTGATACAATTATTTAAGCACAGAATAATTCATTGATCATAATCCATTAACTATACACAATATAACAACTTGCAAAATTCTTACAATAATCTGAACAAACTGGGGCTTCACAGGTCTACCATCAGCATGATTGTGTTCCGCATTCCATACCTTACTCCTACTCACTTTACTTGGGTCTTTACTCTTCTTTTTCTATATAAAAACAGACATATCTCAGTACCATTTTAATATAACAAGCTGTACAATATATAGATGTTTGACTACTCTCTTACCATATTTTCAGCTAAACGAAGCATTCTTTTACGGCTGGTGGTATGAGGAATCTGATTTCTTCTCATCTCTATGTACTTGTTACTTATTTCCTACAAGAAAAAAATGACAGTGATTAAATATAAACAAGAAAATTACTTAGTTATAATAATTCACCGTGCAAGTTGTGGTCATCTTGCTCCTAACCCAAGAGTTCCACACTTGAATGGATGGGATGTTGCTGGGTTTTAAATCTATTCTCTCAACAGTAGTCTTCGCAGCACATACTGGTGACACTAGCCTTGACTTCTCATCCTTCCACAAATTTTCCAGCTGCTTGAAAATAACAGATTTCAGCTACTCTTCTTGCAAGTTAAACATCCCTTGCATCACAATAAGAAAAGGTTAATATTTCATCTTGCGGTTCACAAATATATATATATATATATACAAACCTGAATTTCTTCCCACATTGTTGCTTTAGTTTCTGCATCAAGATTTTTCCAATCAGAAAGTTCTACCAGAACATATTCCCTCACAAGAGGACCAAGAAAAGACGATAGTGTTACTAAACCAGGTCCAACATGCTCACCAAAATCATTGAATGTGACTTCAATCTTTTTATTGAAATTTTTAGCCACTCTACGCATTTTTGTTGGTCCTCTTTTATTTTTTTCTTTCACTTCATCCGCTACTAGATCAACTCCTTCAGTACTAGGAATCTCATTATCTTGGCATGTCCATCTTCTTCCATATTGAGAGATTCTTCTTCATTTCTTTTCTCATTGCTAACTCCATCTTCTTGCATATTGAGAGCTTCTTTTTTGTTCTCTTTCTCACTGAGAACTCCATCATTTTCCATTGGCCGCTTCTTTTTCATTATCTTTCTCATTGAGAACTCCATCTTCTATCATATTGGGAGCTTCTTCTTCATTATGTTTATGTTCTTGTGCATTCAAACAAGCTTCTCCTTCTATCACAGTATCTTCTTTATCATCTTCAGACATTGCCTTCCCAGCCTAATCTTTTTCCACAACACCACCATCTTCCGGTGTTACATCTTCTACCTCATCATATCGCAGTGTTACATCTTCTACCTCATCTTCTTCTAATGTTACATCTTCTATCTCATCATCTTGAGCAGCCACTTTGTTGATTCTACTAATTCTTCTCATTGGCGTTAAAATTAAATTCTTTTTTTTTTGGGAAGCCACTTTATTTGCTGCTTTTTTTCACTTTTAGTGTTGTAGCAAAAGAAAATTTCGGAGTTGGATCTACTACATCCAAGTCTCTTGATTACATCTACTCTAATGAGAACCAACTTTTCCTTCTCCTCTTGTCTTTGCCATTTCTGAAACTGATAAACAAAAAAACAGATTCAATCAAAGTAAAATCAAAACCCAAAATCAAAATCAAATCGAAACCGAAAAATCAAAAACTTGGACATGAATTTTAACAGGAACCAAGAATAGAAACCAAAAATCAAAATCGTCAAAATCACAAACTTTAACAGGAATCAAAATCGAAACCCAAAATAAAAATCAAAACCGAACATCACAAACTTTAACATGCTTGTTCACACAAACTAAGAATCAAATCCAAGAGATACCAATCAAAATAAGAACAAATGAACTCAGAATCAAATGGAGGAAACTTTCTAATCAAAACTCAGAATCAAATCAAAACTCATACCAATTGAAGCTTCGATTCGAGAGAACTCTCGGAATTTTCTTCGAAGCTATGAAGAACAAAGGGTTCCAATTCTAGGGAGTGTGAAGAGAGTGAAGAGAGTGAAGAAAGTGAAAAGAGTGAAAAAGAGGGTTTCGATTTTAACTTAAGTACTTGTCGACTAAAATTTAATATATTTTTTCATATACTGTAGCAATTATTCTTTTTATGTGCAATGGTAAGGTGCCTCCACTTACCAAATTAACACGGCTAATTATTTTAGTTTCCCGCGATTACAAACATAGCGTTTAAATTTTATAAACGCTATTAAAAAGGACAGTCTTGGTATACAATAGTAGAGATGTTAAAAATGCTATACTACGAGGCTATTAATATCCACATTTCATGTTGTGAGTAGTGAAGAGATGTATCGACCAGCTTCACTAAAACTCAAATAACCTAAGACCTGACCGTTGAAAGTAAAATTACTTTGGTGAACCTGTAATTAACTGAGTGATGAAGCTTTTTACAAAATATCAGTCAAAACAGAACCTGTCTGATCCCCCAAAACCTACATTGACAAACTCAAACGGATCATGCCTCTATCTCTCATTTTTCTCTTTTGTATAAAGAGTATTAAATTCTGAGTATTCTTCTTTTTTGTGTTAAAAAGTGTTGTTTTCTACACAAATTAGGTTAAAGAACTTTATATATTGTTTCACTATCCCGTAAGATCCAATACTAATCTCATGGACTAGTAGCAAACATCTAACTCCAAGTTGGTTCTCTCCAATTGAACCCATTGGATTTCTTCCACTAGGAGGAACCCGACTTGGATTGAGTTTTATGAGGCATGCACCAAAAAACGATTGAAATTTTTGTGGGTTTTATTTTTGCTGGTGCCGTTGTGGTGAAGTATAGAGACAAAAGTGTATATTTAATTAATTTAGAAGATTTGGGCAACACAACAAATCAATGGTATTTGTATGGATCTAATGCTTTTTCTCCTTATAACCCATTTCTTGTTTCTAAAAATCTCTAAGTCTATATGCTTCTCCAAATACCTATACTTTTGAATGTGATTATGTTCTTTGCTTGCTTGCAGAGCAAGCTTTGACATATTTGCTGCTCCTTTCACAAAGAGAGGTTTGCTTATCGAGTTTTCTATGTCTGGAGGAGTCTCTTTTCTTACTTATGTCAGTGCTTCCTCGACCGACGATGTTCTTCCTATCAAGAGAAGCTTAAGCTCGGTCCTCGCAATTAGTTTTCTTAACTCTGTGAACCCTTTTTAGATTTATGTGTGTGTTGTTTTTTGAGCTAGTGAATTGAGAACTAAATATGATGATTCAGTGATATTATATATAAAGTCTGCTACAACACAGTGGTGCTTTTCCATTTGAATCATGGAAGAAGCAACAAGCAAACCTAACTTTACAAGAAAAAGAAAGTAACTCTCTCAGGAGTATCTAGCCGTTGGACTCCTCATTACTCCAATAGTCTCAAGATAAGAACTTTTCTTGTTTGTTGTCATAAGACCTGTGACTTTGGACAACAATGGTTTCTCTCGATCTCCATAAGAGTTTTCTTTCTTCACGTCATTGTTCTTGTTACCCCATTGCATAACATCAGAAAGCGATGTCCCTGTAGCCGTATCCTCTGAAAAGCTAAGTCTTTCCTCCTTCATTGTCTCTTTCACAAGATATCTGTTCTTAGAAGGTGCATTTGTAGGTTCTTGAGTAAGCTGATCAGCATAAAGAACGTCTTCTATTTTCGACATCACCGTGTGAGCCAAACTCTCAAGCACTCTAGAGTAACCCTCCAGTATAGCAAGTCCTACATCCTGAAAACAACAACAATAAAATAAATAAATCATTAGTCAGAAGGGTGTTTTCATCACAGCCAAACAATCAACTTTCTTGATTTTTGTTTTTTCTTACTCTGTTGCATTGAATCTTGCTGATATCAAGCGAGGATTGAGAGATTCCAGGAAACCCTTGTTTCAAAAGAAGCAAGATTGTTTCAGCTCTTTCTTCAAACTGTTCTCTTTTCTCAGTACTCACTGCTGAGCCCCAAGGAGACTTTGTGTCCTTCTGCACCATCTTCCTCTTCCATATCACAATCGATGCTTCGATTTTGTTCTTTAGATCAAGAATCTTGTGCTCAGATGATAAATCCATTTCAATTAGGAACTGATCTGCATCAAACATCTCTACTGTTATCATTTTGTATATCACATCTCCCAAGCTAGCTCTCCCATTCTGCTCAACAAAAGAAAAAACATCGATAAGGAACAGATCATTAAAACAGATTCTTGATGAATGCTTCTGTATTGACTAAATAACCTTAGGAAGTGATTCCAGGTAGCTTTCAGGAATCTCCATTTCAGACAGAACTTGAGCGTTTATTGCCATTGCAGCTTTAAGGACTTGATTAACACATTCCTTTTGGCTTTGCAGAAACCTTCTTGACATCTCGGAGAGGCCATTAGGTGGGACTTTAACTGCTGGTAACCACCATTTCTCATCGTTTCTTGTCTCTAAAGAATCAGGAGAATCTTTTTTGACATAATAAAACTCACTCTGATCCTTGAATTTGTCAAGACAATCCTGAAAACAAACAAGAAAATGTCAATATTTTATTAGAGTGATTTTTTTATTTGGAATGAAGAAAGTGATTACAAAATAAGAGATTAATTTAGTCCTTTTTTTTTCTGTTCATAGTTCTTACAAGAAGCATTGCATCAAGTTTCTTAAGTGCAGGAATGTTGCAGAGAAGATCTGTTCTCTGTCTTGTTGTCATGACTTCCATTGAAGATCCATCTTTGTTTGTTTGTTGCGTTGGAGCGAATTCAACTATGTGATCCGCCACAGAGATAAGCCATCC